CTTGCACTCTTTTAAGTGTGCTTCTTACTTTGTCTAAACTCTACAAAACACTCTTGAAAACTGCTGAGTGCTTCCATTTGTCTGCGGTCAAAGAGACTGACAGACAAATGGAAGCACTCTTCACATATGTTATAGAAAGGCAGTCAACGCAACCTCTAGCCACAAAAATCAATAACTCTAATCTCTGAAATCCCAACAACAACATAGGAAGAACTAATTAAATACAGACTGAAGATAGGAAGCAGAAAAACTATGTCGTAGAAGCAAAATTTCCTCCCTTTCCCTAGAATGATCCTTTGTTATATTTATTAGATGACGGTGTTTCTTCGATACTTGCCATGAAAACTACTAATCAGAAATCTGAAAAGAATTTTGGGAAATTAACATAAGGGATACAAAAAACCCAAAGACACTAGTTGAACTAACTGAAATGTTCCAACTCATAAAAAAATATCTACAAAAGATAAAAACAACATTAAAGATTGCCTTGGTATTCAAAAATAGTATTTTAGTCCAATAAATACAGCTTCATAAGAGATGTCTCACAGCCTAATGCTAGGATGAGCTCTGTGGAGGCTAGAGAATATTGTACTTATGCAAAGGTTATACTAGAAATGAGTATATGTGATACTAACAAGCATCTCCACCCCCTCTTTTACAGTGTTGAAAATTATGTCTTTTCAGATTTTTGCAATGTTTGTACAGTTACAAGTACACTATTAATCATCTTTCCATGACCTACATTTATAGTAACAGTACAACAGTATTACAGGAACAGTTTTTCACTGAGTCAACTCTTGATTTAAGAAAAACCTAAATCACATGTAAAAGGATGCACAACAACCAAATAACTGAAATGGAAAACTGAGATACAGAACAGTACAACTCTTCTTTATAACCCTGACTAGCTCAGTTGGTAGAGCATGAGACTCATAATCTCAGGGCAGTGGGTTCATGTCCCATGTTGGGTGCAAGGTTCTCTTATAACCCATACTGAGCAGCAGCAGTATGGGATGGTGTAGGGTCACATATCTGTGACAACAGCAACACCACTTGTGCTATCTGTGTTGAAGACAGGCCTGGCAATCTACTTCTGTGTCTTACCATGAAAACTCTATGGATAGTGATGGTGGAATTTTCCATAGGGTCGCCATGAGTTGATACTGACTTGACAGCACTCAACCCCCCACGACTCTTCTTTAATGAAAATGGGGTCTGTATGAAGTGAGCCATCTATCAGTCACACCATGTTTCAGAGAGAGACAGTAATTAATTACCAAACCCTTTGGCCATGTTTTACATACAGTATGTTTCTTCACAAATTTAAATACAGAGATGTTTGTCAGAAATTAGAGAAAACAACTGCATGCTCCTGAATAATGTACAGACCTCAGTGACCTTTCAGTATACTTCTAAAATACTTTTATCTAAAAAAAAAGATAAAAATTGAATTGCTTTTCTAGTCCTGTTATTTACAGGATTTGCATATACATTGAGAACTTTCTAAAAGTTTTTGCATGAACTAGTTTTGCATACATTAACTATTTTATTTAGAATAGGTTCATTGTTTCTGCTCCAACTCCTCACTTGTTTGTTTTGGAGTAACAGGGTAAAGTCACATTTTTTTCCAATGATTTGTTTTAATTTGGTTAAATATTGGTTTAAAAATCTAAATTTGGTTTAAATTTGCCTGAGATTTATAGTAGCAGTAATGTACAGCCTGAGATTACACAGTTGTTAGATAGTCAGTGCAGATGTAATGTAATGTAACTACATTTTTACTATATTAATTTTCAAAACATGGTTCAGACTGCTGATACAGATTTATTAGGTAAAAACAACAAAGCAATACTGAAAATGCCTAAGTCCCTAATGCTTTCCTTTATAATACGGTATGTATTTGGTTTATAATTTTACAAACACTACGTATTTTTTTCCATCAAATTGTTATCAGTCAAGTCATTTTCACACTCTTTGGAGTTCATGGAATCTTAACATGACTGTATCCTGGCCTTCTGTTTCTATACTGGGTTCTGTTTGGTTTTGGAAACTTACAGTAATATAGTATTTTTTGCTATAGAACAATGGTTGTTATCATTGTTGTCACTGACTGAGGAAAACAATGATAAACTTTTTCTAAATATTTGAAAACAGCCCTCCAGTCAAGTTCAAAGCTTGGCTGTAATTTGACACCTGTAACATGAATGTACAGCGTAAATCTTAAGTATTTAAAATAATTTTGCTAAGAATTTTTCATGTTCTTGTCCTATATAAGCAGCTACTCAAAGAGCAGGTTGTACACTGCATCCTGCATGTTGCTGGTACAATGTAGTGATAACCATCTGCGGGCCTCTTGATTTGGGACTGAGACTATTGGAAATTACCATTAAACTCTACTCTTCTGATATTTCACAAAGTTTTCAATTTGGCTACCCACATCCAGATTACTCTGACTGAAATGTTTATTTAATTTTGTCATCTTCCAGGCAGGGTGGCACAGTGGCAAAGTAGTTAGCATTGCTCCCTTGCAGTGCTGGGGCCCTGTGTTCAATTCTGGACCTGAGGTACTATCTGTGTGGAGTTTGTATGTTCTCACTGTTGTTTTCTCACAGTCCAACAAGCTTGTGGTACATTAATTGACTTCTGGAAAAATTGGACCTGGTGTGTGTGTCTGTTTGTATCTGTCAGTCTGCCCTGCAAAGGACTGCTGTCCTGTCCAGGGTGTATCTTGCTTTTCACACATTTTATTTTTAGGATACACTCTGGGTCTTCTGCAACCCTGAATTCGATGAAGTGGTTAAAAAAACGGATGGATTTCTTAAACTCTTGAACTATATTTTGTTTAAAAGCACTTTTTGCTCATTTTCAGAGTATCAGTTGAAGTGGAAATCTAATAAGTAAATTGATTCTTAAAAATGTAGAGAGCTATGCAAAAAATATATTGGTGCTTTTAGATGAAAACAGTTTGTCAACAAAGTACACTGTTTAGGTTAGTTTAGAAGACAATGTACCAAAACAATATATGCTGTCTGGGTCATTAGATTAGCCGAAAGTAACTGATAAGCTTTGAATAACAAATCTAGTTTTCTTCTCTCGCTCTATGATGTAATCTGTTTTCTCTTAGAGAAAGGGGAAGTTTTAGAAGGGACCAAGTGCTGAACTTTTTTACAGCGCAACGTCTTATAAAAACCCTGTACTGCTTGTAACAAATTGAGTCTCTGGTTGCACTTTGCGAAGTGGCAGCAGGACTCCCAATATTGCAATATTGAAATAAAGACCTTACTCAGGTGAGAACTCTCTCTTGTGGCTTCCTTGATAGTTAAATTTCCTCGACACGGTGCATTTTCTTTAAGTTTGTCTTATAATTGCCATTTCTATTTTGACTAGAATTTATATTGTTTATTTACCTGCTGTTTATATGGCACTTTGATTCGTTTTTCTTCTGTAATCTAATTTTTTTCACTTCACCTTCTACTGTAGTTGTACAACAATACGTGATGCTTTGCATTTCTGCAAGATAAAAATAAATATTATTATTTTTAAATCTCCGCTAAGAGTTTGAAACTAATTTATAATATTGAAGGTCCCAATATACTGTTGTAAGCCATGTAACTCTATCATAAACTAAGATTAATGTCTTACAAATTGTATTTACTTTTAGGGTTGTACTTCTATTCACGTTCACCACAGGACAAGACTGCAAAGCTGTCCATTAAATGGAAAACCTCCAAGGAAAGCCATGTTGCTGCTGTAAGTGGTATTGGTGGACCAGAAGGTAGAACTCCTCCCTCTTGACTAAAATCTCCAACGCAATGCCTTGATATGGTGGTGACCAAAGGTGTTCATTTTAAACCCCTTTTGGATCAATTTGGTAACTGAACATCTCATGGCACTGTAGGGGTGTTAACCCTGGTGCTCTAGCTACAGTCCTCCCTGGGCCTGCATAACTGAACCTGCACAACACTTTCGTGCTTTTTTAAAATTCAGTTGGTGAAGTCATTTTCTCAGATCTGTTTGAACTGGTCTGACTGACCGTCAATGTGCCACCCAGGTGCTATACTGTAGGTGCTTCACTTACTGTAAATGGCATACGAAGGAGGGACCATTCTACATGTAAAGCAATTTGGGATCCTTTGAGATTAATGCCATACCAAATTCTACACAAATTAAATTATCACTACTATTATTTCTCATTCCCATGAGTTTAGAATGTTTAAAGAGTTTCTAATATTGACTACGTTAAGTCTTCACAGACATGGACTGAATGATTTTAAAGTCCTTCAACCAT